AAAATCAAAAACGTCGGTGTTCCTTAGGACTTCAGCAGTGCTATCAACTCCTGTAAAGGTTCTTAAATTTCCAAAAACGTATATACTAAATGGTTCACCATACTTTATGAAAACAAAAACAAACGATATTAGGAAAAAGAACGCAGAATCAAAAAGGCATTGTATAGGGAATTGTATTTTATTGGCTGCGACGCATCCAATAACTATATATTACCTTTTCCTTACAATCTTTGAGAAAATTTTCAGTGTCATGTATATAAGAATATGTATGCCCAATAATTGGAAATCGATATGGTACTAATGGTGGTTCGTTCTATTAAAGATGATCTCTTGTTACAAATAATAATAATGATTACGACATTATATAAAAATGAAACTAAGTTTACCGCGCCTATTCGAGGTCTTTTAATCAAATGAAATATAAATGTAGCAAGAAGTAACAAACAAACAATTTCAGCGTAAGGCATTTTTTTCTGATAGAAGAAATTAGAAGAAAGTAGAACGATAGCTTATATATATTTGATATAGATAAAGATATATTTAAATTCACGTGTGACGTACGTTCTTTTGTGAATTAAATTTTTTCGGGAAAATAATTTTTCCTGTAAAGATAGTGTTTCACGGACCGGTTGTTCCGCTTTTTTTTTGCAAGCTGGACTCTACACGATTTTATGCAGTTGTTTGCGTGTAGCTTGTGACCAATAATAAGACGACGTAAGGTTGGAACAATGCAATGTGCTGTATAAGTTTTTTCTTGGTTACAATCCGTGCAGGTAGTGATAGGCACGGAAATTCCGCGCATCATCATTTTGCAATGATATCTCGTAATAGCATAGAGTTTCCTTGATAGTTAATGTATAGCAAATCCGGCGTAGCCACCAAACGAGGGTGCAGTCACATGTATATACATATGAGGCGATTTTTATAATTTCAATATTATCATAATAGGTGGACTTATTTCGAAAATAAGTGGGAATTCAAAAAAATCCTATGTATTCCTGGTTTGAAATTCCGAAATCAAAAAAAAAAATAAGGTATGTGTTTTGATGATACATAATAAAAATAGAATTTATAGATTATTTATTTCGAAAAAATATACGAATCATTCTTTTTTTTATATATATATATACAACTATGAAACAGCGATTCTATTTGATTTATTTTTAAAATAAAATATTTTAATAATTTTTAATAATATAATAAAATTTATTTTTAATCATATAAGCAAAATATTTGATTCGGAGATTATTAAAATTAAAATGATAATAAAATATTTCCTTAATCCAATCGTTTATGCGATATTTCGTACGCACGTACATATTTACCAGGATTAAAGCATAAAATTAAGCTTTGTAATTCTACCATATTTTATTGGCTATTTTCTTAATTTTTGCTTATAAATACCTTATTATATAGTTGCTTACGAATCCGCTTATGAAATGTAAGGCTAATTATGGTACCAGGTATGATTATTACAGGGTGAAACCCGCGATAGAAACCCGCGAAAGTGGTTACGTTATTGATGCAGATCACCATCTAATATAGTAACTAACCCTAACTAACCCTAACTAAGTAAGATCTGCATCAACAACGCTGTCGCGGGTTTCACCCTTTCATATTATTATTATTTGATTGGTTATTAACATAGCGACTCTGCATAACTTGTCTGATCCATTGAGAATTAGCGGAACCTTATTTACATATGGTTAGGATATTATTCGTTAATTCTCTGTGATCTTTGCATAGGGATTAACTTGTTTTTAACCTTTAATGATCACAGTATTCACAAAAGTTTTCGTCCATATGTTACACGAAAGCTAATTCATTCAATTCCACCATTAATTAATTAATAATTTCACCAATTTTTTTTTATTAAGAACCACCCCGTATATAGTCACATGATCCTGGTATCACTTATTCTGAAAAACAAAGCTGGGATCCGTGAATTTCCACTGGTTAAAAACGAATATTTAATTAAAAACAAATATTCGGATACACAAAATTCATGAATAGTCGAGGATTAGGTTATAATATATATGAATTCAAAAGATTATTTAGGTTTCATAAAATTCTTGATACAGTAGTCGTGAATATTTGTTTAGAATTAA